AAATAAATAAGGGAATCATGCCTGTAATCCCAGCACTTTCAGAGGCCAAGATGAGTTGACTGCTTGAGTTCAGGAGTTTGAGACCAGCAAAAACAACATGGCGAAAACTCCCCCTCTACAAAATATACAAAAATTAGCTTGGCGTGGTGACATGCACCTATAGTCCCATTTACTTGGGGGGCTGAGGTGGGAGTGATCACTCGAGCCTGGGAGATCAAAACTGCAGATCAAAACTGCAGTGAGCTGTGGTTAAGCCACTGCACTCCAGCCTGGGTAACAAAGACAAACACTGTCTCCAAAAAAAGAAAAAGAAAAAGAACCAGAGTTAAGTCATGGCCTTAACAATCTTAACCCATTTCCATCTATAGGAAAAACATTAATCACAGATTTTAAGCTTTTAAAATTATTGATAGACAATTTTCCTAAATCAACTTAAATACTACTACTATGGACATATTTTTGAATAATTTACAGTAATATCTCAAGATAGTCATTTTTACTCTACTTTGATTATTGATCACATTAATTACCAGCACCACCAAAAAATAATTAAGTTGAAGGCAGACTTTATAAATCGAGTAGTAAACAACACTAGATGGAGATAAGTTGTAATCGCTTCTTTGTAATTCTAGAAAACTTTCGGCCTTCGGTGCCTTAGCTGGGCTCTGTAACCAAATATCTTGTTAGCTACACACGTATACTATTTAATTTCAAGTACAAAAATGTTTCACCATTCACTCAACTCCCCAAAGAAAAGCCCCTCTCTCATTTACTAGGTGGTTCTATGATATACTACTAACATTTTATCAATTTTATATAATCAACTCAACTTAAGTATACCCATAGCAGGCCAGGTGCAGTAGCTCCAGCCTGTAATTCCAGCACTTTGGGAGGCCGAGGCAAGCAGATCACTTGAGGTCAGGAGTTCAAGATCAGCCTGGCCAACATGACAAAACCCCGTTTCTACTAAAAATACAAAAATTAGCTGGGCATGGTGGCAGGAGCCTGTAATCTCAGCTACCGGGGAAGGTGAGACAGGAATCACCTGAACTCAGGGAGGTGGAGGTTGCAGTGAGCCGAGATCGCGCCACCGCACTCCAGCCTAGGGGACACAGCAAGACTCTGTCTCAAAAAATAAATCAAAAGAAAAACAAAAACAAACAAACAAAAAAACAAACCCATAGCAAAGACAGCCTGTTAATGGCTTCTCACTTCCCTGGACTAGGGTAAGGACCAGTAATTGCTGACAAGGCCAAACCATACTAGAGCCTGAACCAAAAGAATCAGCAGTACTGATCCTGTCTTTACCTAAAATTTTAGTATTGTGTCCATCATGAATTTCTGCATTCATTTTGGTTTCTTAAAAAATATTGCACAAAATATTTATCTTAATTACTTTTTTTGGGGGGGTGGGAGTCCCTTAAAATGTGTACCCAAGAGGCCTCCTCACTTGCCTTGCCCTGGGCCTAGCCCAGCTCCAGCGCTTCTCTGCCCAGTGGCTCACTGTTTAGTCCACTGGCAGAAATAAGCAGCACAATCTATGACCACAGAACAGGTGGAGTCAGCCTAGCACACCCACAATATCACACGTATGGTCACAACCGTGCTAGCGCAGAGCACTCTTTTTGAGTCTCAGCTAACTGAATAGTTACCAGATAGAGGAAAAGGAAACTACCTACAAAAAAAATACATCATGAAATTCTTGTATAACTACATTTGATGTAACTGTTTTCTTCACAGATTCTGAATTTATGGATTAAAAAGAAAAAGATTACCAGCTTCCTCCACTGAATACATCTCTCGCCAAAACATCCTATGCTTGTAGTCATCTTTTGGGGCATACAAGTATGTATTTAATTCCCATTTCTGGAGCCTTAAGGGGAAAGAAAATTACATATGTATCAACAGGCAACATTTATAGGCTATAAATCTCCATCTTTTCCCTCTTCTTGGAGCATCTTCATCTCATACAAAGCTAATATTCTATAACAGTAGCTTTTAACATTTTTGTTATCAGTGGAATTTTAAAAAATTAAGTATTACAACCTACATCAACATATAAAATAGTCTTAAGAAAAAACATGATAGCTCTGGGTGAGGTGAAGCCCAAAACCTAATTCAGCTCCCCTAGGAAAAGTTTTAAAACCAAAGGCCTAGGTGAAGAAATAAGGGACCAAGGTAAAATAACTTCTGCAATTGAGAAACCATCAAAATGTACCTGGGCTATTCAGTGTTACTATTTCTTCAAACCAAAGAAAATGTTAAGGATTTAAGGTTCTCTTCTCTCCTTCATATAATATTTACCTTCTAAAGAGTTCTTTTCTCTGTTCCATAACCCAAGGTCTTCCATAAAATCCTAGATTCAAAGTAAGAATGAAATTACATTCAGTTTCAAAATGTGGTAAGCATTCATGAGAAAAGCAAATTACAAAGCATACAATACAATCCTATTTTGTAAAAAACCTAAAATACACCAAATCTGGAGAATATTAATAAAAAAAATTAAGATTCCTTTTATTATTATTTTTTTAAGATGGGGTTTCACCATGTTGGTCAGGCTGGTCTTGAACTCCCGACCTCAGATGATCTGCCCGCCTTGGCCTCCAAAGTGCTTGGATTACAGGCGTGAGCCACCATGTCCGGCCAGGTTCCTTTGTCTTTGGGTAGCGACATTACAAGGTGACTTTCATTCCATTTTTACTTAGGTAAATTTTCTTATTTTTCTACCATGGCATGTTACTTATGTGATATTTTAAAACAAACATCGATCATCTCTTTTCACTGTTGATAAAGGCTACCTATATTTAAATCCAATTTTTTAAAAGACTATCTCAATCTTACAATAGGGAAGTGCTGCAATGTAATACAAACTGCCAACAGTAACAATTACTTCCTAGAAGGGGAGTAAAACTGCTTTACAAAGAGTGAGGGGAGGTCGGGTGAGGTGGTTCACACCTGTAATCCCAGCACATTGGAAGGCTGAGGCGGGTAGATCACCTCACGTCAGGAGTTCCAGACCAGCCTGGCCCACATGGCGAAACGCTGCCTCTACAAAAATACAAAAAAATTAGCTGGGCATGGTGGCACGTGCCTGTAATCCCAGCTACTCAGGAGACTGAGGCAGGAGAATTGCTTGAACCAGGACCTGGGAGGCAGAGGTTGCAGTGAGCCAAGATCAGGTCACTGCACTCCAGCTTGGGCTACAAAACGAGACTCTGTCTCAAACAAACAAGCAAGCAAACAAATTAGCTGGGCATGGTGGCAGGCACCTGTAATCCCAGCTACTTAAGAGGCTGAGGCACAAGAATAGCTTGAACCCAGGAGGCGGTAGTTGCAGTGAGCCAAGATCATACCACTGCACTGCAGCCTGGGTGACACAGTGAGGCTCTGTCCCCCCCCAAAAAAATTTCTGGCCAGGCCTGTAATTCCAGCTACTTGAGAGGCTGAGGCAAGAGAATCGCTTGAACCCAGGAGGCAGGGGTTGCAGTGAGCAGAGATCGCACCATTGCACTCCAGCCTGGACAAGAGAGCAACTCTCTCTCACTCAACCAAAAAAAAAAAAAGTTACTGATACAATGATATAGTCAAAGGGACCGAAAAATGCCTGAAACCACATTCCTAAGAAATTCAAAAGCCTAACTGTCTAAACAACAAACTCTCAGGCAATCTTAATTACAGAGCAAAGGTCTGAACAAATGAAAATTCAAGTATGTTACTTCTGGTCCTAAACGGAAAAGAATAAACAAAGAAAACTCAAGAATGTGACTTGCCCCAGAGTGTCCCACAGGAGGACAAAACACTAATTATGCACACTGCAGAAAACAAGTTTGCAGACTGATGACCTAAATTGCTGAGTAAGCATTAAACTTACCTGGAACTCCTTAGTGGGCTCATCACAGCTCAAACCACCTACTTTACATCGTGTCTTACTTTTACTTTACACCCGTCTCAGTCTAATCATCAGCAAGAGATAAGGACAGCCTCTCAAGAGTACCACGAAGACGGTTAATAAAAGCATTTTGAACACAAAATGTTCTACATAACCCACACAGTCTACATAAGAAACTAGTCTAGAACAAAAATTTCTGAAATGTATTTTAGCTCCAACCTCTAGGCAGAATGACTCCTCTGCATCACAAAAAGAACAATGACAGACCAAATTAAAATTCATTACATTGTATAAAACTGTAGTACGTTCCGGGCAGGCTCGGTAGCTCACTCCTGTAATGCTAGCATTTTGGGAGGTGGAGGCCCGCGGATCACAAGGTCAGGTATTCGAGACCAGCATGGCCAACATGGCAGAATCCATCTCTAATAAAAATACAAAAATTAGCCAGGCACGGTGGCGTGTGCCTGCAGTCCCAGCTACTCTGGAGGCTGAGGCAGAATTGCTTGAACCGCTGAGGCGGAGATCACGCCACTGCACTCCATCCAGCCTGGGAGGCGGATATCACGCCACTGCACTCCAGCCTGGGCCTCAGAGCTAGGCTCCATCTCCAAAAAACCAAAAACAAAACAAAAATCAGTGCCGGCTCAGGTGCTCAGTTACCAAGAAAATATACAAGGGCAAGGGAAGAACAGACCAGAGAATGGCAGACAACTCCATTCTTTAAACAGGAAGAATCGCCTTTTAATAAGAAAGTCAACTTAAACCAAATGAGTTTTCTCCTTTCATTACAGAAGGTATAATGGACTGGCAAGTTTCCTTTGACTCATTCCAGTCTATCTCCGAAATTTCCCAGCACACTCTCAACCCCACCCCAAGATCTTTGATAACAAAAGATTCTTTTTCTAAAATCTTCCTGCACTCAAGCCAATAAATACATCGACATAAATCACGCAATGCAATCATTTTTGATAAAACTATATAATAATTTTCCATTCTGTAGTTCTTCAAATGCTGCAAGGCAGTTAACTTCGCTGAACTCTTTTATACCTTATTGTAGCACCAAAGCAGACTGTTATGGTCTGTACCATAACCACCAGCCATTTTTCAAAAGAATACTCTAATTTATATGGTTAAAAAAAACACAGAGGCTGGGCGCGGTGGCTCAAGCCTGTAATCCCAGCACTTTGGGAGGCCGAGGCGGGTGGATCACGAGGTCAAGAGATGGAGACCATCCTGGTCAACATGGTGAAACCCCGTCTCTACTAAAAATACAAAACATTAGCTGGGCATGGTGGCGCGTGCCTGTAATCCCAGCTACTCAGGAGGTTGAGGCAGGAGAATTGCCTGAACCCAGGAGGCGGAGGTTGCGGTGAGCCGAGATCGCGCCATTGCACTCCAGCCTGGGTAACAAGAGCGAAACTCCGTCTCAAAAAAAAAAAAAATAGAAAAGCTGATGTTCTCAGCCACGAGAACAATACTTTTACCATGCCTTTTTAGTTTTTCTAAAGATTATTTTACCCCATTCACACCATAACATATAACAGAGATATAAAACAGACATCTAGGAAACTCTGCGACGGCCAAAATACTTCAAAAAAATTCAAATATATGCTGCAATTGCGCAAAGAGCAATAAGGTAACTGATTTATGCCTCTACAGAACGGCAAGGTGGACTATCTTTCCATTCTTATCCCGAAACTGTGCAACAAGCATCTGGTAATTTTCTCTCATTACCAAAAAAGTCCATCATTCTTTTCGACTGTAAGTGGGAAAAAAGGTGAGAACAACATTTTTTAAGCCACTTCTCGGTCACCAAATTCAAATTACGCATCTCGGATACTTTGAGAATCTGCGATTAAAGCCAAAGCCTCATCCCTTGAGAGTAAAGTACAGTAGCTGGGAAAGTGGACAATTTTCTAAGCTGCAAATGAATCTTGCAGGGGGAGAGCAACAAAAATACTCTAAGCACAGAACTTCAAATACTATAGGCCAACCATGCTTCTCTTCACTCCAGAAGTACAAGCACGTCAGTGTGGGTCGATTTTACCCAAAGGGTGGGTACAAAAGCACATTTTTTCACTGGAACGCAGACAATCCTAGGGAATAAGATCGCAAGGTACAAAGTGGTAGAACTCAGGGGCTAACAAAACACCAGGCTCCATACCACCCGCCTCCTTAGGAGCCGGCTTGGCTCCAAGCCCAAGACGGGTGGGGTCAGGCTTTTGAGTGGCCAGCGGGGAATCCGACGCCGTTTAAGGGCGTGCGGGGAGACTCGCCCACCGTCTCCTCGCTCCCCTTGCTTTGGCAAGGCCACATTTCAGACGCAAGGGCTTTCCAGCCTTCCAGAACCCCGGCCACCACCACCCCCCTCCCGAGGACAGAACGTGTTAGTGCCGGGGCGGGGGAGCGGGAAGGAGGGCGCTCACCTTCCACCACGCCGCACAGGAACCTCCGAGCGCCTCCTGCAGCCCCGGCCACCGCTGCTCCCCCAGCCCCGGCGGGGTTATCTTCTCCGGTTGCCGGAGCTGCCGGCGGCTCCAGCGATGCGCCAGTAGTGGCGGCAGAGTTGGAGCTGAGCTCGCTCTCCCGCTCCTCCAGCGTCGCTTGGCTCTCCTTCTGCACCATCCTCCTGCCCCCGGCTGCCGCCACCTTTACGGGTCCTCCTCGGCCTCCGTCCGCTGGGCCACAGGCCCGGAGCCCTGTAGAGGTCTTCAGCTCCAAGTGTGCGCCCCTCTGACTTCTTCCCCTCCCCCTCTGCCCTTCCCCCTCCCTCTCCGCAGGGACCCGAATGCCCGGATGAGAAGGGCGGCGGCACCGGCGTGAGCCCTTTGTCAGCCGCTGCCTCAGCTTTAAGCTGGGGCGTCAGAAGCCTAAGCGCAGAGCGAGGCTGTGACCTCTCGTTCCCTGGATGAAGACGGCCAAGAGTCCTGTCCTCGTTCTCAGCCTCTGCTGCCCTCCCAATAATCTTAGTTCTTCTGCTGTTCCCCTTCGAAGCCCACAGCTCGCCTCTGCCGCCGCCTCCACCGCCCGCTTCCTGTTTATCCGCACTGCGCTTGCGCTGCAGACCGGCTCAGACCGGTCCCCTCCGCCCGGCTCCCCCCGCCTTCTTTGGGGCCAGCCTATTAAGTTTCTTTCGGTAGGGGGAAATAGAACAGAGGAGCCGCGAAAAGCGGAAGGTAATGAAGGCAGTGGAACGTACCATGTCTGCTTGCCCCCCTCCGGAACAAGCCTAGCTCCCTGGGACGGACCATTACCCCACCTGAAGGAGGGGAGTACAAGGAGGAGGCTGCGGCCGCCTGGGGCTTTAGGGAGAAGGGGGGGAAGGTGAAAAGGAGAGGCGTTTACTCTCTCACTGCGCAGGCGCGGATCCGCGGCCTCGCGTTCTTAAAGTGATAGGAAAGAACTGACCTATTTTTCTATGGAGATTCTTGTAATAGGTGGGCTGATTACATCTGCCTGACCCAAGCTTGTTTCGGTGAAGACACCATTCCAAGGAGCTCAGCTCAGCTCACTCCTCTGTCTTGAATCATTTTCCCCTAATTCCATTTAAAATGCAATCATTCGTTCATTCCTTCATTCAGTAAGACATCCATTGAGCTTGCCTCGTGCTGGGCTGTAGGAACACTATGAGCTCACAGTGCGGCGGTGGAGACAAGCATCCACACACACAGTTCCCATAAGGTGTCCCCAAGAGCCTCGGAGCTCAGAATAGGTGATACTTCTCCTCCTTTGGGGAGAGGCCGTGGGCATGGCTTCATTTTTCAGCTGGAGTATAAAGAATGTGAAGTTAGCCTGACTGAGCAGGAAGGGAGGGAAGACAGCACTCCAGGCAAGTGGAACGAACAACAGAGTCCAAAGGTAGGGAGGCATGAAAAGCCTGGCTCGTTTGGGAATGGGGAGCGGGCGATGTGCGCGGTGGGGCACGAGATCCCTTGGGAAGCCTTCCCTGATGGGATTGGGTCTCCTTGCTGCATGTTCTCAGAGCTCTCTTGCAGTCCTATCCTAATGCACTTTACATTTATGTTGCTTGAGAAGTCTGTCTCAACCTGTGAGGTATAAACATGAAGTGAACATCTCAGTCTCATTCTGATGATTAAGACTTAGAACTGTCCATCTTACACTTCAGTCTGATATTTACTTCCTCTAGCCGCAGCCCAACTTGTAGTTTCTGGGACTTTTAGGGTCCCTCTTCTTTTCAGTCCTGGATTGTTGAGATGGGTTTAGGGGCAAGCATTTGCTTAATTTTTTTTTTTTTTTTTT